TCTCAAAAACGCATCGAGGCATCCACAGAAACTACTGTCAGCTCTATGTCTGACGAATACTTGCAGGCATGGAAGCCCATGTTCTGGAAATGGAAATACCTGTGGAAATCAGGCATCCGTCTGTGGACTGTTTGACTGTTTACAACAGCTAGTCACTAGATGCGATAGTTGGGAGGTTTATTCGTATGCTGGAGGTTGACGTATAGGGACCCCACGAACGATGGGAGAACCGAGGCTGTCAGCCGTGCTTCCCAAATGCCTGAAGTAGAAGATTCGAGCGATGGAAAGATAGGGCTTATAGTAGTTCAGCAGGTGAGATGACTTCATAACTTAGCTCTGTCCAGGTTATACCTTGCAGACTTGATTACCTTTACGAGTAATTTGCTCCACTTACGACCTTTTCCACCACTCTGAAGTCAGACTTCATTAATTCTCGGATCTGGCAATAAAAGTGGCAAGGAAATAAAGTTGTTTGTCCAGTGTGAAGTTAGCGGTGATGATGATGATGATGAGGAGGAGGAGGAGGGGGGAAACGAAATTCTTACCGAACCTAGGTATTTTCCCCTGCTTTAAGAAGCAATCACGGGTCACGCTTTTTAATTGTCTTTATCGAAGTGTCGCATTTTATGTGCAATACATTTCCACCCAAGAGGAAACGGCGGCTGATGCAAACGTGTCTTATACGTAGTCGCTTTAGCTCTTAATACAAATATACATACTGCATTGTAATACCAAATTCGGAAGATCTTGGCCATTCTTAGACTGCAAGTCTAGTTTAGAAGTTACCCTGAACCCTTCTTATGTGTGCAGTTCCGGAGTTAAGTCAAGAGCTCTTAGCTAGAGGTTTTTTAGCTGACAGGGAGCGTCCTTCAACTATCGGGCAGAACAGCTGTTTAATGAGCGGTTTTGCTAATGTTTTCTATCCGCGGCTGTATATGTCTACTTGTTTGCTGCTCCCTTCCAGTCTCATTTCGTAGTTGCATCCTGAGCGGGACCAACGGATGATGACCGTATGCTGTGTCAGACGTTTGGGGGGGAGAGATGTACAAATAGGCGCATGGCGCATTCCAGACAGAGGTTCCATGTCCCATCAATCACTGTGTCCGATCTTATCATCAGTCTGCTTGACACTGGCATGTCCGTCATGCACGATGGAAAAAGAGGAAACGAGAGTGGGGTTGATCCAGCGCTTGATCTCCTCACCATAGCAAGACTGATGAGCTTCCATAAGATCAGGTGTGTGGCACTTTTTGACGCCAGCCGCGAGCCAGGCCCTGTGTCGGCCAGTAACCGCGCCCCCGTCAGTCCAGAATCGTCCTGGTCCTTGCTTAACACAGAATGGGTGTCAGAAGTGCGAGTGACGTAGATGCTCGTATGCCACCTTCACAGCAGTATAGATCACCGGCAACCGACCATCGCCCCCTTCCTTCCCCCCGGCCGCCATCGTATGCTACTGATAGGATATCGTCTTTCTGGGTTTCGTCATAAAAAAAGAATTGCAAATCAGCTTATATTTGTTGGAAAATGGCCTCACGGCATTTCATTTTCTGTTGAACAGCTGCGTGTTGTCCAGACTAATTATCTTAATATATTAAAAGATAGAAATGTCGATTGGGTACACATGTTTTCGACTACTGACATCTGCCTATTATTAGAAAGTCGATCCTTTCTGTTACGCCGATCTAAATGGTGAACTTATCCCCACTACAGAGTGCGAAATTTGCCCGTCCATAAGGAGGAAATCTTCAAAATCAGTAGTCTCTTGCTGTTTCGTTCCTTTCAGTTCCTTTCATGCGTCGCTATTATTACCTAAGAGTTTGACCGTCAGTTTCGACTATGTCCACCGTGTGCTCCACAGCAGATTGAGAACACGCACGGCGACTTTGGCGTAAATTAGTTTACAGTGATATCAGACTTGCGCAGCATCTGCCGCACTCTATCCTCCTCCCTCATTTGCACCCGCTGCCATGACCAAGTCAGGAAGACCGAAGGCGGGAGGGGACGCATGTGGCTGACACGGCGTAAACCCGCGCCTAGGCGTACCACTACATTCCATGATCCACAACAAACACTTGACTAGGATTTTAAACAACAACAACAACAACAAAAGTGGGGATGGCTCGGATCACATCTGGCGCAGCGTGAGCTGCGACTGGGCCTGTCACCGCATCCCAAATGTTGGCATTTTTTATGGGTGCACATTTCCGATAATGCCTGCCAGGATCCGATGTAGCCTTCGTGTTGGTCTAGCACATCTACCAAGTGGCCCGTTTTAGGGGGTGCGTTATGAGCGGAGATTGCAGGTGTTATAAACACCGAATTTCTCTCGATCGACTTATCCACCAGTGAATGCTTCGGATCGGAGGCAGAAATCACTGATCTCCCAAAGAGACTTGCTGACCTGTATAATTTTGCCGTTTTTGGAATAAATATGTATGTCCAGGCTTGAATTTCAATACCTGCAGCCCAAGCTTCAGTTCAGCCGGAAGGTGGTCCAGATTTGAAATTAAAGTGTGGCAATGGGTAAACGCTTCTATTGGGCCGTTTATTGAATCCCTTTATTCGGAGTGATTCTGCTCGGTAGCATAGGCCATTTCACTAAGTGTTGCGGTTGTTTTCAGTTGTCAGCCACGAACGTCCCCACAACCATGGAGGTGGAGCACAACCGGATTCATTCACGATAAATCAAGTCCTCGGTTTGATCAAGAACAGACATTCAGATTGAAAGCATAAAGCAGTAAATTCGGAGAGAGAGGAGAGACAGATCTGTTGATTCGAGAGTTGTTCTCAGATATTCGTTGTACCCCTGTGCAACATGACTCCAAGCCGTCAGTATAATGTGATCACCGGTCATCTGGGAGAAAGTATATCATCTATCAGTTATCAGCGCAGGCACCGTCTACCGCAAGTCTGACATGGAGTCAACGTTAACTTTGATATCAGTGGACGTGATGGCTATGATGACGCGGTGGCGGCTGCGGTGGCCGAACTTAGCCTTACACTAAACTTCTTGTTCACATGTACATATAAAACGGATAGTCAAGCAGGAATAGGCGTACACTGATTTATTGGCCTTCTGAATCAAACAAGCTCCGTCCGATGAAGCGCCTATGACCCATCTCCTAGACCCTGTCTGTGGACCATCTGCGCCGTGTACGATCGCAAGCTTGTGTTTCTGGTCCCCGCAGCTGGCCAAGGTTATGAATGGCTGAATGAGGGCGGAATACGTCCGAAACAGTACCATATCAATCTACGCGCATTCTTTTTCGTCCCTCGCATTTGCTAAAACGAGTTGTGTCCAGGATCTCTCCGGGCAGATATTCAAGCAGCCTGTGCGCAGCCCCACCTATAGTTTGACGTGCAGAGTTTGGGGACAAAGTTTGAGCTTTGTTTTAACTACAGCATGCATTCTGACGACCCATTGGAATTGTGGAGACTCAAATGGAAAAAATATTTCACAATTGATGGTCTGCCTTCCATAAGTGCAGTGTGAAGATACCTTACAAGACAGTGGACTCACTAAAAAAGCATTTACGGGAAATGCAGCCTTCTAGGCCGACCAAGTCCGCATAAAATAAAGAGTCTTCAGCGGATTCACATAGGTCCAGACTAAGCGGCTCAGGGACACGAAGAAGGCATATCGGGTTTACCCAACCCTATCCGCTTGTCGCGTCAGCATTTTCTGAAATGCAAGTACTGACGGTGATTTGGCTTAGTACGCTGCTGCATTCAGGGAAGGAGGTGAAGCATTGACTGACACTACCACAGGCGTGCTACAAGTCAGGTAGGACCGAAGTTTACGTAGTCCTTTTCAAATTAGGAGGACTGACAAAACCTAGGTTGGTAAGACAGGGGAATAGAACCCCTGGCTTTTGAGGATAAGAAGCCTTCGCTACTTTTTAATGCTGTCAAGACTGTTCATGCTAGTTCCTACGACGAACATACTATCAAACCCAGGTGACAATTTCGTCATGTCAGTGAGCATTTCTGAACAGTCGAAGTTCAGATACTGAAATTCTTCTATTCTCCTCACAGTTTTTCTCCGAAATGTGCGGTATGCTACGTTTGTAGGTCGTTATGGGCATAAAAATACGGGATTATCGAGTAAAACAGGGGAATGGAAGCCTTCAAAGCCATGGCGATTGACACACCGTGATAGTCTCAGACTCTAATCACATATGCAGCAGCGGAACCGCATGGAGACGAAGTCAAGACGCACACTTCCCACTTGTGTGAGAGGTGACAGTTGGGTACTTATTGTGGGTGATAACATTGTCTAATGTAGGTGAGGGAAGATGTGATGGTGTGGTGTTGCTAGCGGTTGCCTACCGCAGGTTCTAGTGAGTGCGCATGTGGTCTAATAGACCCATGTGGTTGGTGAATGCATGGGTGCAGTGAGGGCAGTTGAGGCGAATGCGGCAAGAGAAAGTTAATACTCCAGGCACTGGTTCGCAAGTAACCGACCAGGCCGATGTGTGAAGTGAGGGTGAAATCGCAATGAGGACAGGCATATACCAGGTCCTCGTCACTTGTGTTAACGGTGGCGGTGTTGGTGTTTCAGGATTGTTTGCAATGTTTATGGGCATGGTAGACGCCACAGTCGCAGATGTTGGGGCGGTGGAGGAAGAAGAAGAAGAAGATGGTAGTGATGGTTTGGGAGAGTAGTCAACGTTAGTTGAGGGCGTGGGAGACGAAGGGGGAAGTGGACGGAGGGATAACGGTTGGTGCAGTCCGAGTGCTGCAGTTGATCCGACGGTGCCCAACAAGTCCAATTGACGCCCGGAATGTCCGTTGACATCGTGGACACGCTGGAGGCGGTTGGGCGATGGCGCTGCGCGGCGGCTGCGTCGGCGGTGGTTTGCGCGTCTCGCGTTTGGCTTTGACGGCGGTGATGCGGTTGGCTTCGAAGATTACTCTCCACTGTCCTTCTCCACGTAGGTCGGTCCCAGGCGGAGTTTTCCCAGTTGGTCTATTGATTTGCTGACGCTTCAGGGAGGACTTCAGAGTATCCTTGTGTCGACAAATTTGACCTCCTTGGCGACGTCTCCATATAAAAGTCGTTTGGATAGCCTCTCGTCGTCCATCCGCACGAGATGGGCGCTCCAACGCAGCTGCATTTTTCTCAGCACGGTGTGGATGCTGAGAATTCTGGTCCGTTTCAATACATCAGTCTCGGGGATTCGACCCTGCCAGCTCAGCCTCAGAATACGGTGAAGAAAACTGAGGTGAAAGTGGTTCAGTCGGCGTGCCTGCGTCGTGTACACCGTCCAAGTCTCCGCTCCGTACAGCAGCGTCGGCAGGATGACGGCCTTGTACATCTTCAGCTTCGTGCTCAGTTGGAGACCACGGCGATTCCAAGTGTGCTTTGGAGGCGGCCGAATGCTTGACTGGGCTTCGAAATCCTGCGGGCGTCTTCGTCGTCGATGTTCGTGCTGCGGTAGAGGGTACTGCCCAAGTTCGAGAAGTTGTTCACCACTTTCAGTTGCGTTCCGTTCACGTTGATCTGTGGCGCGTTGTGGGGAGAGGCTGTGTTGGGTGGCAGTTGGTGCACGACCATCGTCTTCTCCATATTGATGGCCAGACCGAAGTTCTCGCAGGCGGCGGAGAAGAGGACTACGCTTCTTTGCATGTCCTCCGCCGAGGTGATGTTGAGGGCGCAGTTGGTGAATAGTGGTTGTGGATATGCGCGATTGGAAGTCCATCCGCCGTTGATTCAGGAGCCGACTTTCCGTCCTGTAGGCGATGCGGATCTCGGGACGTTCGTCACGAAGGAGGTCTATCAGCATGGCAGAGAACATAAGATTGAAAAGGGTGGGCAACAGGACGCGTCCCTGCTTCGCTCCTTTGGGCAAAGCTAATGCCTCTGAGACAGCTCCGTTGTCCGTGATTCGCGCCATCATGCCGTCGTGGAGCTGATGCACCATTTGAGTGAATCGTCCGGGACAGCCGAATTTCTGCATGATCTTCCACAGTTCTTCACGATTCACCGTGTCAAGGGCATTCGTAAGATCCACGAAAGTAGAGTGGAGGTGGGTCCGCATCTCCTGGCACCTCTCCTGAAGTTGACGGGCGGCGAAGATCATATCCGTGGTCCCGCGATGACGGCAGAAGCCGCACTGGATTTCCGGCAGAAGACTCTGTTCTAGGTGCTTATTCAGGCGGTTTAGGAGGATGCGAGTCAAGGAGATGCCTCGATGATAGTCTCAGAGCAGGCGGTTACCATTTCGCTTGTATATATGCACGATTGTGGCGTCTTTGAAATCCTGCAGAACTTCTTCTTGACGCAACATCTCCTGGAAGAGCGAAGTCAGGTGATCCATTAGTTGTGGGTCACCATGCTTGTAGATCTCAGCAGGGATCGCGTCCGATTCGGGCGCTTTCCCGCTGCAGAGCTGCTGCACAGCCCTGATGGTTTCGTGGAGAGTGGACGGGAGATCGAGGTCCATGTTGGTCTCCACTTGCGGCAAACGGGCGATGTCGGCATCGGAGATGGTGGAAGGGCGATTGAGGACGCCTCGGAAGTGCTCGGTCCAGCGTTGTGGAATTTGTGTCTTCTTAGTCAGGAGGTTACTGCCGTCGGAGCTGAGGAGAGCTGCAGTGACTTTGGTCGGTGGACTGTAGACAGTTTTGATAGCGGCGAAGAAGTTCTTCCATTCGTTGCGGTCCGCGTATCCTTGGATCTCCTCAGCCTTACGAACCGCCCAGACGTCCTGCATCTCGCGCAGTCGCTGTTGAACGAGGTGTCGACTGCGTTAGAAAACAACACACGAAGCAGCCCTAGAGGGCAAATTTCGTAAGTTGCCTGCTCCAATGTCATCCAAGACCGACAAACTGGTACACAACTTGTCATCAAAGGAGCTGACGGAGGAACAAATGCAGGTTTTACGGCATGAGGCCTCATTCAACACAGCCGATGCCAAACCTGCCAACATGATCGCAGCAGTGGAATCAATTTTCAGCCAGACGGGAGCGACAGACGAAACGAAGAACCTCATTCGACATCAAGTGTCCTTCCTCCTCATGGCTCGTAGGCCACGCGACGTGCTTTCAAAGGTCGAGCGCGATGCACTTAAGGAACTCAGGACCAACAACGACCTCGTTATCGTGCTTGCGGAAAAGGGGCGTTTAGCGGTCGTATTGGACAGGACAGACTACAATCAAAAAACCAAAAGCTTGTTAGAGGATCGTCAGTCCTATGTCCCATACGAATCCAAACCCATAAAAACGCTAACATGCGAGATTAACACGACACTGTTGGCAATGGAGAACTCAGGCGCAATATCGCCAATCGACCGACGCATGGCGACAGCATAAGAAACGGCCCTAGCCCGATTCTACGGTCTCCCAAAAGTACACAAAGAGGGCGTTCCTCTCCGGTCTATTGTATCAATAAATGGCACTCCAACCTACAGACTGGCAAAGTGGCTGTTCCGACGCCTCAAGATTCTGACCTCCGATTCGAACACCACAGTCAGCTTGTCAACGCAATTCTTGGAGAAACTTAAAGGAGTAAGTCTCCTGCCAAGCGATATCATGGCTTCCTTTGATATCACGTCCCTTTCTTACTTCTATCCCACAGCACCTGGCAGTCTAGACCATCGAACTACCCCTGCGAGAGAAATACGACGAAACGGAGAATCGCCTCGGACACACCTAAATCATCCAGCTGCTAAAGTTCTGTCTCAAGACGTACTTCACGTTCGACGGAACAATCTACGAGCAGGTGAAGGGAACGCCAATGGGTTCGCCGATTTCGGGACTCATCGCCGAGGCGGTCCTACAACGACTGGAGTCGCTGGTTTTCCGACACCACAGACCGAAATTCTGGGCTCGGTATGTGGATGACACCTTCGTCGTCATCGAACGGGATCAGATGCTGACATTCAAAGAACATCTCAACGCCGTCTTCCCGGACATTCAATTTACGATGGAGGTGGAGGAAAACAACCAACTGGCCTTCCTGGATGACCTCGTATGCCGCTAAGATTGTGGTGGCCTAAAAACCAAAGTGTTCAGGAAAGCGACAAATACGACGCAAATACTGAACTTCAATAGCAACCACCCGATCAGTCACAAACGCAGTTGCGTAAGGGCGCTTTACCGGCGCGTTGAGACGCACTGCAGTGAAATTGAGGACAAGTTTGTTGAATTACAGTATCTTCGAGGGGTAATGAGAGCCCACGGTTACCCGCGCAACTTTGTCAGCCAGTGCATACGAAAACGACACCAGGAACCAAATCCAACCGGTCCCAAATGTTGGCGGGCTCTTCCGTACGTGAAGAACGTCTCGGAAGCCGTCAGTTGTCTTCTAACTCCACTTGGAGTTGGGATTGCACACAGGCCGGAAGCAACCATTAGGCGCGAAGTCATGAGGCCAAAAGACCCGCTGCCACGGCAGGAAACGTCTGGGGTCGTTTACCGGATCTGGTGTAGTTGCGGACAAAGCAACTATGTCGCAGAAATGTCAAGAGGCCGAAATCCTCGCAAGGGGTGACAACCGCGTGAGCCGCGAGCTGCTCGAGTCATGGTTCTCAGGCCCGCAATCCATCAACAAGCACAATGACCTCCCGGTACCATATTCTGTACTGCGATTTTCCCTGAGCAGAGGGACCAGTCACGTGAGCAGGACGCGGGCGAGCAATTATCCCAGTGACAGAGAGGCGATTTGCCGAGCAATCGTCACACCAGCATCCAGCACGGATGACGAAATCACGGCAATTAACGACTCGGACTCGGACTAGAAAGCCACCACCGCATCAATTACGACCCCATCGGTGATTGCGAGAGCTATTAATTACGGCGCGTATGGTCCCACGACGACCACGTGCTATAAGTACTGCAAGCCTTGTGCCACCATCATCTTTATCTGCGAATGCCTCTGATGATGGATTCGAGCAATAATCCGAAACGTCAGGCCAATAAATTTCTTGCTCCAGTGACCGCATCTTCGTCTTCTGAACTGCAACCTGGAACCCACCTGTTCGCTTCTATCAGACGGCAGCTCTGTTGTTGTCGGTGGGGCGGTCGACGTAGGCTTTGTGAAGGCCGTTCTGCTCGACGAGCAGGTTGCTGATGGCGGCATCGTTGTCGTCGAATCTGTATTAGTGTTGGCGGCGTGCGCGACCGAGGACGGCCAACACCGTCGACTGAACTGTGTCCCGCAGTTGACGTCATCGGTCCTCCACGGAGGCGTTCACGACCGCGGCGGCAGCGACTGGAAAGTTGTCTAGCTGCTTACCTAGCTCGTTGCTGAAATGGAGATGGTGAGCGGACAAAGACAACAATGCAATATTCAGCCTACCTGGGGGTCGCTTACCTTGAGGACTCCTTCGAGGCTGTAGGCGAATTCGCGTCCTGGAGATGAAGAGACGATGGTCTGTCCCCCCGTCGGCATCCCACAATCACCTTTATCATCAGCACATCCCACTGGTCTCGTCTCCGGACGAGAACATAGTCCAGAAGCTGCTTATGTCGCGACCGAGGATACATCCAGGTGGTCTTCTCTCGCACCGGCAGACAGAAGACGCTGTTCGTCAGGATGAGCTGGTGTTATACGCAGGTGCAGAGAAGGAGTAGGCCACTGTCATTGGAGTTACCGAGACCATGGGGACCTATCACTCCTCTCCAGGCAGTACGTTCTGTGCCGACGCGGACGTTGAAGTCACCAAGGACAATCAACTTATCCATCTTCGGCACAGACGCCACGAGGGCGTGCAGGTCCTCATAGAATTTGTTCCTTGCAGCGTCGGGACTACTCATCGAGGGAACGTAGACACTGACGATGATGGTGAATTTGCCTCCCCGGAGAGGCAGGTGGAGGCGCATCGGACGATCGTTGATACCCCGCGACAGACAGGGCAGTTGTCCTACGATGTCATTCCGGATGGCGAAGGCGACACCCGCGTCCCGTCGCTCTGCCCTAGGGCGACCGCTCTAGAGAAGGCTGTAGCCGACACCAACCTCCTCCCGTTGGCCTTGTTCGGAGAAGCGGGTCTAGCTGGGTGCGACGATGTCCACCTTGTAGCGCGCCAGTTCCCGAGCCAATAGCGCCGTCCTCCGTTCCGGTCGGTTTCTCCTTAGATTGTCTAAGGGGGAGCGCATATTGCAGGCTGCCAGGGTGAGTGGACCCACCCTACCAGTCTGGCGCATGGGGTGGCGGGAATGAGGGGGAGAAGAAGATGAGGAAGGAGAAGGGGAAGAAGAAGAAGAGGGAGAGAGTGTGTTGTTGTCATTGTTTAGATTTTGGCTCTTTCAACCGTGAGTTTACCGTCTGCGACCACGATCAGCCTGCAGCCGACCTAGTTCCCCAGCGATCCCTAGGGAACCTTTTCTTGCCCCTCCCTTGTGAGCAGCAGCGCCTCCCTTAATAAGGCTGCCCGGTTGTGCCGGCGCGGCCGAACTCCACTATGGGCCACGAATTCTGTTGTGTTAGAAGAATGACCCGAAGTTGCCAAAAGCTTACGACATCGCCGCCAGCTCGCGGCCCCCTGCGGTGCACCAGACGGAGCCTTGTCTCAGCAGAGCTCGCGCTATCGTGTGCGCGGGCACATCGCGCACTCGGGTATCCTAGCCTGGTTTAGCCCACCGGTCGAGGTGGTTGCCGGGGTGTGGCCGCTGGGCAGAGCCCAGCTTCGGGAAGCCACATGTGAGATTTAGGTGCCAGTGAATGGACGCTAAGCGTAATCTGCACCCGCAAGCAAGTAAACGACCTACTACGACTATCACGTGAACCCACCGCTGGACACCCCTACACCCCTCCCACACACACACACACACACACACACACACACACACACACGACAGTTCGACCGTCGATTTCGACGATGT